GCATGAATTAGAATCAAAGATATCCCATATTTCAATCCACGATATTACGAGTATATTCTATGTAACAAATTTAATGCATATCTATTTAGTTATTTAAATGTAATACATAATGTTGTTATAAATATTTAAACATTTCTAACATTTATTAGAATATTACTATACAGTACCTGTTAATACCTGTTAAATAGGATACTTATAGATATTATCACATTTTATTAGTATAGAAGGATTAAGGTATTTTTACCAATCTACTTAAAGTTATGAAACTTAACAGCTTGTTGTATGTATAGATAGATATAGTCAGATTTGCATAGAACTTCAGTTTAGTTGATTTTTCTGCTGCATCAATATCTTATTTATTATTAACATCAATAAATACGAGGTTTGTCCGGAAAGTACGTATAAAAGTTTTTTAAAAATTTTATTTTACAATTATTCAGGTAAATCAATTTTATCCCCTTCAAAGTACTCCCCCTGTGACATAATGCACTTGTGCCAACGCCGTTTCCACTGTGAGAAGGCTCCTTGAAAGTCCTCTGGTTGTAGGTTTCTCAGCTGCCCCGTCGTAGCTTTTTTTATCTCATTTATGTCCCCCAAATGCCGCCCCCGAAGTACCAATTTGGTTTTTGGGAACAAGAAGAAGTCACACGGGGCCAAATCCGGCGAATAGGGGGTGTTCGGTCACCGTAATGGAATTTTTACTCAAAAACTCACGGACAACAAGAGAGGTGTGGGCAGGGGCATTGTCGTGGTGAAGAATCCAACGCCCCTCTCGCGCCAATTCTGGACGAACTCGTGCCACACGAGCTTTGAGGCGTCTGAGCACATCGACGTAGAATTTTCCATCAACTGTCTGGCCTATTCTTGATGGACAATCCCCCGAACATCGAAAAAAACAATCAACATTGTCTTGACATTTGAGCGGGATTTTCTTGATTTTTTTGTTCGTGGTTCCCCGGATGTCTTCCACTCTTTGCTTTCACGGCCATTCTTGCCGAGTTTCGAGAGAAACTTGATTACGACGCGCTGCTCTTCAACGGAAGCGGGCTCCATGCCGACGGGGTTTCGTTAAGAGGTAACTTCACAGATGGCGTGACAAGCCAGTTCGCACCACACGGCGGTCAGACCAGAACTGAAGCATTGTTAGGGACATAAGGAAGGGGTCCTGCGCTTACCTGGCCTCCCCACTCCTCTTTCTCGCATTCCAGAACACTTTTATACGAACTTTCCGGACAGACCTCGTATTCTCAGTTCATTGAACGTTTGACAACAAAGTAGCAGTATAAATACGATAAGCAGTGTATACATATTCCAAACTATTCTCATTGCAACAATAAAAATACTATGCATTCACAAGAGCATTTCAGTTAGAGAATTTCAATTGGGCATTCCATTTCATTCTGAGACACTGAAAGCTTAGTCGAACAGAGTTATTCGGGGCGTCGCGTTGTCTGTCACATTATGTAAATGAATCTTTTAATCTTCTCAAAGACAATACAAGTTGGACGCGCCTAATAGGCTCCAGAACTAGATGCAAGTCACGAATGAACCCAATATCGGAATGTAGATTACAGAAACATGTAAATACAGGCCCTGGGACCCAGGCGACTGTCTCTGTATGGCCGACACATCTCGCCTCTGAAACAAAGAGATTGATTTCATTAACATATTTAATATTTCAATTTGTATTCCTAGCTGTATTGTTTTTGGTAGTTTCACTTGCTTTCTTTCTCATAGTTATTCGATGTTGGTGTTTTATATAATCTTTATAACGATTTTATTTGGATGCTACCAGAGATATTTGTATTGAACGGCTTTAATATTTTAAGATATTACTTATGATTGTACTTATTACTTACTATTGTATAAATAATTGCGTATTATTTAAGCACCAGACAACCATTAATGTTTTTGTTAATAATTTAAATTATTATATTTTTTAAGCAACTTAAATGGCAATCAAGCTGATGGCCCACCTGATGAAGTTTACAATTAAAATCATTATTATAATTTATTAATATCACTACAGTTACCAAAATATATAAACATAAGTATAGTCGTCTTGTTCCACTTCTGTTTCTGCCACTTATTTACCTTGTAGTTATATGACCATATTTAGAAACTTAGTTATAATTACCCTTGTTTTATTTTAAAGGATCTGTTGTAGTGAACATTATGAAACAAACCGGGCGTGAAGATAATTCCATATATTATACTAGAATGTATCCTATAAAATTAAATCTAAATTAGGCATTTAATGAGTCTTGGAGCTGTATCCTAAAAAGACAAATAACATGAGGTGTTTACTAGGGCTTTCCTTAATAAAGTACAGTGATGTCAACTTACGTCCATTCCTATGCTAATTTAACAACTCTTGCTCTTGTAAATTACAATATTTTCGAGTTACCAAAAGAGAGGGCGTGATTACGAGATTTTTCACCCCTGTTTGCATTAATTATCTTGTTTACTTACAAATGTTGCTAATAATGTTTTCACGTAATAAAAGAACGGAGTTATGTATAAGGGAATTACTATAAAATATAATTGCTATCTAAACTTTAATATTAGGTGTAACTGTGTTAATATACATCTCCTTATATAGTTTACATAAATGATAACATTATTAGAAGGCAACTAGTCACAATAAAAAGCTTTAAAAGTCAGCTTAGTTAGAGCATAAAGTATTATTCACACTGTTCCAGGTCAGAGTCTGTTATATTATACGTGATAAGTAACCTGTCAGCCATAGTTATATGTGTTCATAAATATTAGGAAAGTTCGGTATCAGTGTACTTCCACGTCTGAGTATGCACACGTCACGATGTTTAATAAATGTTGCAAAAGTAATATAGAAACTTGTAAAACTAATATAAATATTAGTCTGTAAGATATTTGTTTGATACATATGTTTTAGAAGTTGTTTTATATAGATATATGGATATAATAAATATGACAGAATATTATTCCGGTAGTGTTAATAATTTAATAGTATTTACGGTATATACAATTCTACATATTCTGCAATTGATAATGATATGGGCGTACGATCGATAGTCGTATGAAATGAAAATATATAATATACACATTGTGTACAAGCAATTTTTTACACTCCAGATAAATGTCTGAGGCTCGAAGTGAATGCGGAGCTGTGTGAATAGCGCATAAATATTAAATTTAATTTACTAATTTTAGATACCTATTAAATTGACACACCCGTTAAATAATAAATGTTCATTCATACAAATGAATAAGCGCTAATATCGTAAAATTAATGTACCTAAAATTTACTACTTAGTTCAAAACAGTAACTATGTATTAGTTACACATTTTTATTGATGTTGATATATATCACATGCTATCAAACATTAATAAAAATGCCAATAAAAAGATAGTTAACACCTAATAATAAATACTATTAACATAAATTTATGATTTCATTTGTACAATTATAGTCTATTTTTATGTATACAACCTACCATGTTATAATATTCTGCGATGTTCATTGTTATAAACATTGATATTACGAGTACACATATAAAATAATATCAGTGAATATTTTTAAATTTAATATCTAACTATAATTATATTTTAATATTTAAAACATACCGGCTTTGATAATACACGGTTGTGCAAAACGGACGCAGATTAAGGAAACACGACGATCGCATAATACTGACCACCTCATCGGTCATAGATTAATAACATTTTGACTAATTGTTTTATATTAATTATTTATATTTATTTCTGTTTACCTACATTTTTTTGACAATAATATAATGTTCAGTAGGATATTATTAATATAATATCTTACTCATAGGTATTATAATTCTTTCAATTTCATTTCAGACATTCTATTGTCGGACTTGAGTTGCCTGTCTGAACATTGCCACTAAGGGCGGACCTGTGAAATTAGAAGGGAAAATAGGACGAGATAATTGCGACTCCCCCGCTCCCTTCTTACCCGCGCACTCCCTCTTTACCGACTTTAATCTGTTTAAACTTTTATTTACTTACGCTAAATTGAAGCGATTAGCTGCCGTGCCTCTCCGGGATGAGCTTTGTTTCAGGGTTATTTCGAAATAAGTTTCTTATTAACAAACCTACCTATCTTTCAATAGGTAATTACGTAAGTAATGAATACTTACATTTGTAATATAATACTTATTACTTAATCTGAAAAAAAGGATAAATGGATGTATAATTATAGTGCCAAGCAACAGGACAGTCTATTCAACAGTTCTTATAAAGTGAGTCTTCTTTTGAACTCGAATCTTTTTGAATTGAGTTCGGGATCTGGATTTAAAAGCAGGTGACAGGTGAAATGACATGATTTGTTATTATCCCCAGTATTCAGTATTAATTAGTTAGTATTATCCAGATGTTAATTGTTACATCTTTTTTTGTTATTATTCCTAAAATTGTGTATTTTACTTCAATCTTAGGTAGTAGATTATACCTAGATGTATATTATAATACACTTGATAAATATATAAATATATTGGTTATGATTCTCTAACCTTGAGTCTTTATTCTTATACAATAATCTATTTGTACTATTGAAGAAAATTAACACAAAATTCATCTTTAATATTGGATGGAAATTTCGGTTAAAGGAATATTGTTGCTTATATTTAATAAATGCATAGATAAATATAGTTCTCTACACATTTATTTCAACATCGTGTTCCAAAAACATCTACTGCGTCAGGCTCTTTTCTTTAAAATGCATGCAGTTGCAATAACCCGCCGGCCATGTTACAGACCTGTCTTTCACAGACGATTGTGTGCACTATATTGTGGTCTCTGTCATACTTATGCAAACTATGATATATCTATCGCACATTCACGAGTCCCCTACACGAAATTAGGGCAATACGCATGCGTCCCATGTCAATGTCAAATCAATCCTCGTAGGCTGATGCAACTAGAGTAATTTAAACTTCATATAGAGAAATTAAAAATAGCTGAATAAAATTAATACTGTGGTGTTTTATTTACAGATGCCGCTATGCAAGCTAGAAGACCGGGATGATGCGGTAGGTTTAATATTTATTTTAATCTTTAAAACCATACTTATGATACCTATATAAGTGACACGATTTGGTACGTTACCATAATAGCCTATCCGTAGGGTCTCTACAAATTAGCATGTTATTCAAAATCTTGGGAAGTCGTGTTCATGACAGGAGAGATCAACTATATCGCTGTACGACTTATTATTAAAAGTACTCTAACATTATATATGAGCCATTAGTGATAGTTGGTCTGTAAAGCCAGACAACAATTGCTTTATTTTCTACTTTATATAGGTCAAGATGACGATATTGCTACAATTAAAATGATTAAATTGATGCATTATTATTAACATTTTAAGTTGTTCATTGTCTACTTATATATATATATATATATATATATATATATATATATATATATATATATATATATATATATATATATATATATATATATATATGTATATTAAAAAATAATATAGAATTATTACAATATTTAATTCTTTGTCCATGTCCCGTTGTTGTGTTACTACATACATAAAAACAATACAGTTCCATTAAGAAGTTACAATATGCTATTATTTAAATAAAATATCGTGTTTCTTTTTAGACAGTATTTATATACCTATAAATCCAATGAAGTAAAAATTATAACTTATAGGTATAAGCCTGTAAATATGTTCTATTTTCTAACTTGAACTCCCAAAGGATACGGCGAGTTAGTTAAATATTTAGTCATAGACCGGGAGCCGAGCCATATTTTTACGAGTAGCGCGATCGGCTCATTACTATCTTATTACCTACGGTGTTGGCCCGCGACGAGCCGCAACACATCCAATTTCCCAACTTCCCATTTATTGATATTGACTCTGAGATGATGCTCCCGTTCTAAGATATCATATATTACTAGATGTACCACCGACGTAGAACCTCACGCTATTGTGAGCATTTGTATAAATTTATCATATTCGACGTGAAACTGTATTACTATGTTCTACTGAATTTTTGTTGATTTTTCGTATAATTTCGTGGATTTACAAAAAATCTTAGTATAGCAGTAATTAAATGTGAGGTAAATAAATTTACATTAATAATGTTTTTAATATGTGTATTATAATTTACTCATACGAAATTATTTGTTTCTTAAATTATTAAGTTGTTAATATTTTTTAAATTCTAACTATACATATGTTGACAAACACTAAATTTCACAATTTGTTGTCAACAATAAAATCAATAAAGAGTATTTTCGCATTATTTTTCTCATGTTATATTAATTAATTTCAAATATATAATATCTCCGCATGCGTATTATTCTCTAAAGTAAAGTAGTTCTCATAGGTTGACGTAAAAAAGACCAATAAATTACTATATATGAAAAACAAAATGGAACAAATATATATACATATATTTAAAAAATTGATTCATCATTTCCATATTATATATAAAAGTATATCATCTTATCCAGGTTATTTATTTCTAGGTTCCCAATATATTGTGGCATCACTTATTATTATCAAACCTAACGCCAGATAAGCTCGATAGGAGACGTGACTTGACGAAAAATAGTCATTCATTCGCCCCTGACTTTTGGATTCGTATACTCGACACGCCTAAATATAATGGACAGATACGTTGGAAATATTATTCTTATGTGGTCCTTACCTAGAGCCAAATCATAAAACGAAAGGTATATATCGAAGGGAAGTTCTAATCAGGTAAATATCAGAAGATAACATCGAATGGGCACTGGCTTACTTGAAATAAACCTACCTACCTACATACGTAGAGTCAATACAAGTATGTAATATTATATATATGAATGTTTGTATCATCTGTTTTAATAGAATTTAATAAAAAGGTAACAGAGTTTTGTTAAAACTATCAAAGAAATATTGTCGGGATGAAATTAATAATAAATCGAAACATTCTATAAATAATTCGGTATTTTATCTGTTCTGCTGTTGGACAGTCAGATCAACAGACTGTCTAATAGTGAAATAAATTTATTTGCGTTTTTACATTTTAATTAAATATTATTAAAGAAAAAACTATAAAGATTTTTAGAGAAAGAAAGATAGTATGGGCATTTGGCACGCACTTACAGACAGTAAATAAAAAAATATCTATTTGGCAATTTGTGTGATTTATATTAAAAGAAATAAATAATGCTGATGAATGTATTATCTAATTGGGTATTACAGGTATTTATTATCATGTATATTTATATTGCATTAAATAAATATATGGAAAATATAAACACTAGACATATAGGCACAATAAGAAACCCAGATAATATCGTTCCTTCTTAAAAGTACGTTTAAAAAAGGGTAACCTTCATAAAGGTCTATCTGAACTATCTATACTTTTATGCATATGTCGAATCTATTGTATACTGTCCCTTTGAAAAGGGCATCAGCATCTTTATCGATTTCAAGAATTGCCTACTACTTGCTAAACTATACTTTAGTAACTTACGAACGTTTGAGTTTGTTGTTGTTGAGTATGTAAGAAGCTGTTTGGATAGTAGAAAGAACAAGTAGGTAAGTAAAAATACGATATTAATGAAATAAATGGCGTAGATATTTGTCTTATACTACATAGTATATATATAATCTTTTTCAAACAAATTAATAAAGCCTAAGAAAAATTAATGCCCTGCCTTAAATATATTATTTTATTCATATAAATTTATACATATTAAAAACTAAAACCATAAAAACCTGTTTTAACTACTACAGAGTTGTATCGTTTACTTATGAATTAAGAATTTAGCCTAAAAGTAACACGGAAATCACGTCAGTAGCCAAAATAAATTTATTATATATTTGACGTTTTTATGATTAAGGAGGGTATGCAGTAATTATATTGATACTTATATGTGATATTCTTACCTATTAAAAAGTACATTAAATAATAAAAATTGGAAATATATTTAATAAAATTATCTAAGTGATAAAAGACATTTAGATCTTTGAGATCTAGATCTAAGAGATTGTTAAATACAAACAAACAAATAACAATATAATTACGTCTTTACCTTGGAAATATAGCCGAAATATTATTCTGCTAACAAAAATAAAATATTTTCAAGTGTACCCGTATTACTTAAATTAGATTCTGTATGATTGATGTAGATATTTATTGATATAGTAACGTTTTAAAGTATTAAGTGTCGTATGGTTTAGGAAGGTCCATCACTTTCTTTCCCATGGGTGTCATAAGAGGCGACTAAGAGAATTTAATGGTCGAGAGATAGGCAGCAGTGTGCCTTGTAAAACAAAACTAAAGTCTAATTGCATTTTTTTTTTTTGATGAAAATGGAATGGTAACCCCGCCTGCGCTAACGGGATACGCTGGCTGGGCACCAGTGAATGGTGATCGATGAGGATGAAAACAGGCCAGTTAGCCCATCATAATGAATTCATCTGGAATTAATCATGATAGTTTCCTGGTCATAGAGGTCGACCTGGTTGGGTATATTGCTAGCAATGGGATTCTCAGTCTCCATTACTATCAATCCCTTTCCCCCCTGCCTAACTGCAGTTACCAATCTGCCTGCCAAGCATGGCAATTACTGGCAAAACCCCCAAGGCGGAGGCCTATGTTTAATAGTGGACAGTTAACGGCTAATATGGTATGGTAATGTTTTAAAGTATAATAGAATACCGAATTGCCAAGGTGCGAATATTGTAGTCATATCTTTTTTTATCGTATATCTGTGCAGAATTACAAAAATGCCAGTACGTGATATAATTTTATATATTAAGAAAATGTTGACTACAACAGGAGTCGTCATTCGATTGACAATTTAAAAATGAACAACTGGAACAACTTCCAAATTCAATTATGGCACACTCGTTAGCATATCTAATTATATCAATACAAGTGAATTCCGTTCGATATTGGAACCTGTCTGTCAAAGCGGAATAAACGAAGCCAATCAGAGATAAATAACCGGCGGTCCGCGAGTACGGCCCGTTTCATTTGCATGTCAATGACGCGGGGTGGCGCGGGGCTGGAGAGGGGAGAGGGAGCTTTATGCGGGTACAATGGCAGCCCACGGAGCTCACCTGATAAATGAATAAACGTTATATACTAGATCCCATTGCGTGATGTTCTTTTGTTTATTGACATGTACAGGAAGTTGTTAGATAATGTTGAACCGACTGCAAAAAGTCAATTCTTACTTCGACTAAGTAGCTACTACCTTATTATTTTTAATGAAGCTGACGCGATATATTCCTCTATATTTTAGTGAGTCTTTTTGTGAAAAAGGTCAAGAGATTTAGTTATATCGTTTTATTTCGGGTTTCTTTTCTCTTGTATTGGTATATATTAGCTTTACTGTTTTCTTTTCCATCTATGGGCAAAAGGAAAAGGATGAGAATCACTGGAGCCGATTCTGAGGTGCAATTTCTCTAAAGTTATCTTTCATCTTAATATTTTAATATGATAATTTTATGAAATTATTGTTTTATGTACCGTCATAAACTGAATTTATAAGAATTTTGACTTAAGTCTACTAGAAAATTGATTTATATTGGTCCTTCAAATAAAGATTTTGCTGTGATATCAGATTGAAATTTTAATTTTAGAGTTTGATTTAGAGAAATGGAGCCTCAAAATCGACCTCATTGTATTCTTACTTTCTTATGATTTATTTAGTTGTTATTTATTATACTTATAATTAATTGTTGTAAGTATTTTATATGCTAATAAACTTTTTGAGCGGTACTTCTTATTTTTTATTTATACTTTAAAGAAAACATTCAGCATCTATAGCAATTACTTATAATACTTATATATAGATATAAATTGAAAGTAACAACATATAATAAGTTTTCATGGATAAATTATAAGTAGTCAAATTTTTAATAAAAAAAAAAAAAAACTTTTACTACACTATGCTTATTGAAAATTCTTGTGTAATAAAGTGTTAAATAAATAAACAGCAAGGTTTGGCAAATATTAAAATTCGCAAAAATACCTAAAGGCAAAATAAATATAAAATAGCCTGATTT